CAGACCCGGCCACACCTCATCATCTCGCTCTCTTGCGACATTGAGCCTCATGGACGTTGCCTCAATATACCACTATCTTTCGAGATCAAGCATGATGGACAACACTTCGGTATTCCACTTTTCTCTTTATTTTTTTTTCGATGATTCAATGGGGAAGATTCCCTTACCCTGGTCGTATAGGAATGAAGCCTGAGATCTAGTACTGCGAACTTATTAGGAAAGTGGTTCATTACATATGTTACTTTCTTTAGTAGTACACAGCTTTGTAACCCTATAAATTGAGGCTCTCACATCTCCGTTAAGCTCTGAAATACATCTTCCATAGGAGCTTAAGGCCCAAATATTCTTAACATGGTATCAAAGCCATGTTATTCAGAAGATATCAATCTATTCCGATCCATAGACTCCTTGACCTCATATCTAAGGTGGCCATAGCCTCTTTGACCAGCCTATTGCCTCTTTACCTATCTACAACTCAGTGTCACCTCCCATCTCATCTCTGTCCTTGTTCTTGAATTTGTTATCTTCACCAAAGAAATAAGTTATTCCAGCAATGTTGATAGAGCCACAACATCAGATTCCATCAAATCGTAGGAATTTTATTGTGTTTTACCTGATGTCCCCTAGCCTCGCTCTCTAAAATTGAGCTTTGTACATAAAGACGTTTGTTCCATATTTTACTGACCTTCAAAAGAAGTTTATGATATGTCTACCACCACATATTCCATCTCATTTACGCATGACTTCTTTTCCTTGCGCCACTAAGAATCTTCCTATTTCTTTTGTAGTGGAGGCACAAGGAAAAAGATAGAGGGATGGTGCACTGTTGAGGAAAGAGATATGGTGCACTCCCCATAGTTTTCCTGAGCCTTGGAACCATTGTTGTCGGGTTCTCCTCTGATGTTGGACCCTTGTTGAACCGGATCTGAAACCCTCCTCTAAATCCACCTCTAAAAATGGCCTTTGAAAACAATCGATCTGCACCATCTGCAAAATAGGCACGAGTCGTGTTTCATGATTAGGCTCTCAGATTTGTCTCTCTGTCGATTCGAATTTCGACTGTTCGATTCTCTGCCGAGTCGTGCTTTGACTATTTGTCGAGTAGTGTTTCGACTATTTGTAGAGTCATGTTTCGACTCTTTGCCGAGTCGTGTTTCAATTATCTGCTGAGTAGGGTTCCAACTATCTATCGAGTCGCACTTCAACTCTTTGATATGTCTCTATGCTGAATCATGTTTCGACCCTCGTATCTGTTTTGGATCTTACTGTTCTCAACTCTGAAATAAGGTCCAACTGTGCTTGTTAATCCATCGCTAATATCTGTTGGCTCTCCCAAGTGCCTCTTGTTTAATGATCGAATTTCTCAATCCTAGTTGATGATCAAGTTTTCTGCTATAGCCTGTTTGATGATGGAGTTTTCTGTTACTCGATCATGTTTAATGATTGAGTTTTTTGTTACTCAATCCTATTGGATGATGGAGTTTTCGGTTACTTCATCTTGTGTGATGATTGAGTTTTTTCTTTACTTTATCCTGTCTGTTCAGGACGCTTGTTGCTATTATGCGAGACTCCTTTGTTTGAGGCGTCGGTTTCTGAAAATCACTAATTTGCAGTTGCTCAAGCTTCTTTTGTTTATGCTTTGTTTCTAAGGCCTGTTTTCAGTTGTTCAAACTCAAGTTGCTCTCTCTTAAACACATCTTAAGTTCGAGGGAGAGTGTGGAAAATATAGAAACATGCAGTTATTGTCAGGTACAATATTTTCCTTATATCACCATGAAGTTCTGCCTGAGTATCTTATATTCACAGGCTTGAATCCATGTCAAGTCCACAAACTTGTGTATCTTCTACACATGTTTGAATTCATGTCAAGTTCACAAACCTATGATAAGCCTCCTTGATCTTCCCTCCCCATTGGTGGTGAACTTGGTTGAACAATGACAACATGCTCCGCCCGATGGTTCGTAAGGCTCAATCTCAAAAGAGAGTGGCATATTGAGACGTTGTTCATGAGGCTCGATCTCGACAGAGAATAACTTACTTAGGCGTTGTTCATGAGGCTCGATCTCGAAAGAGAGTGGTGTACTAAGGCATCGTCCATGAAGCTCAATCTCGCAAGAGAGCAGGATATTGAGGTTTTGCTGGGTCAGCAATCATGGGTGGAGCAAGATGGTATAGCCTATGGGGGAGAAGGCATATGTGCTTCTGAGGACAACAAGAATTCACCACCCACTGTTTGAACCATTTGATTAGCTCCTCCGCTACCTCCCTCTATATCCATTGCATGAGCTCCTCTTCCATCACCTCCCACCGTATCCATTTTATGAGCTCCTCCTCCGTGACCTCCATCTATGTGTATGTTTCCCTCATTAGTACCCTTCTTCAGTTTCTAGCATAAAACCTTGCTTTTTATTGGGAGGCATAAATGATCATTTCTTTTCTGTATGTTGGTGGCACAAGGTGTAAATATTTGCCTTCCAGAAGAGGTTGTCCACGTTTCCAGAACTGAACTTCTCATCCGCTGGCTACAAGATAATTAAAGGAGTTTTCCCAATACTAAATCGAAAAACCATGACAAAACGTTTCATACTATTACATCATCTTTACTAATCATTGGTACTATTTTCCATTTTTAAAATCCATTTGGAAATCAAAGGCCAAAAAAAAAAAAGATATAGAGGATTCAATAAGTAACAACTTCGATATCCTGAGTTTCGTCTGATAATAGGGTTGGATGAGTTCATTAAAGAACTAAAGACTCTGATACCATAAAGAGGGAAAATGGTTGATTTGCATAAAAAAAAAATCTCCCTCCAAAGGGTTGATTAACAGTCCCAAATCTTTTTTTTTTTCTAGTTCACAAAATATCAAAGATGATGAGGGACCTGCATATTACTCATAAAATTCAATATTTTGTTTGAATTCTAGGCTTATGTAAACTTTTGACAGCTAATAGTTAAGAAGAGGCATGGTCTTAACGTCTAAAAAAGGTGAAGAAGATATAGACCACTTTTTCTATTTATTTTTTTTATTTTAATTGAACATTTATAGATTTAGAAAGGTGAAGAAGATATAGACCACTTTTTCTATTTATTTTTTTTATTTTAATTGAACATTTATAGATTTAGAAAACTATATATCTGAATCATTATTTGACACTGATTTAGCCTCCAATTCTCCCTCTCTTTCTCCAGCCTAACCTAAAACCAAACCTCCTAATGTATTGGAATGTGGAACCCTAATTCAAACTGCATATTACTATATTTGATAACATAAAGTGATTCTCATACCGTAAGATGGATTACAATATATGGAAGCCTCGATTATAAAAATCAATACTTAGGGCCTCATACGGTTTATAACTAAAATAAAAGGGTATGGTTTGTATAAGGTTGAGGCCCTAGCCAATCAAAGTACATCTCACCTTCATATATTACCCGAAACATATTGTATCAATATAGAAATTATTGTAATAGTCTGAAAATTTATTTTCATTACGAAATGTAAAATTTAAAGATTAAAAAATAGTGTAGATCGAGTAGATCTATAGACACTTAAAAATTGACTGTCTAGATAATACATTACAATCTTAGACGATCAAATTGAAGGTTTTTTTTAGCATCAAAAGAACGCAACACATTTACTTAAAGAGTTATGTTGAAGTACCTTAGCAGCATGATTAAGAGAAATTTGTAGGCCAGTACAATGAAAATTTTCAACAGGTAGTGCAGATTATGGCACGCAATGAGGTGGAAACCTTATATAAATTTTTTCCTTCGAAGAAAGTAGTGGTCCCGGAGGACCACCTTGTACCTCCAGAATTATGATATAGTGATATTTACACGTCAATGAATCAAGAGCATGAGATTACAAAATGTCCAGGTAGTCATTACTGAAAATCATGGGGAAATTTAACGGTCTCACTCAATTCCTGTGTTTGAGGTCCGGCTTTTTGGAGATCATGGCTGCCATTTACAAGGAGAATTGAGAGCCCAAGTCATTTTGCCCATTTCCATTGCTGGTGTTTCTACTTAGCCCTTCGATCCTGAAAAATCGCCATCTCTTCGGTGGACTTGCACCATTTTTAGGAGCTTCTGCTTCTCCTCCTCCTTTTCAGTTAACAGGGTATCTTTCCTTACTCATTTGCCTACTCTTGTATCATAACTCGGAAACGTGTGTTATTTCCTCTTGGGTTTGTAATCTTATAGCTTCTGTAATTTGTTCTATTTCGCAGCACTTTATTTGATTCACTTGGTTTCTTGAAATTTGTGAAATCAGGAGGATTAATTTGCTGTAGAAAGAAAAAATGGGTACTGTTTAGATTCAACATTTTGTAAGAAATTCGTTTCTTTTGTGAATATTTTGTTTTATTGATTTTGATTTTGTTTACTTTCTCATCTGGAAAGAAAATTTCGGTCTGGAATATATTCCTTCTCATTCCTTTTCCTTCGCCCCTCTGCTGTATCTTATGGGTGAAAATAAGTTACGAAATTTTGTTATTAGTGTTTACATAATTAAAATGAGAAGTGTTGATTGCTTTTCGTGGTTAATTTTAAACCCAACACAGTAATTATGAATGTAAATATTAATTGACGTATAACTCGAGGGACTGCTGAAATCTGTGATTCGTGGGGTTTGATCATCCCTGTCCTTGAAGGGGTCCTAAGCTATCGAAGGAAAAGGTATTATAGAGTGTTCCTTTTCAGTTCCTGGTAACCTTTCTAACTTCCAAGTGTAATTTCTTGGTTTTGTGTATTCTAGGGTTTGGTGCAAATAAATAAACCAAATGAATTTCAATCTAACTTCATCTACTGATCTGTTACATCTTTCCTCAAAGTCTCAGACTCTTTTTAAATATTACACTGGTATGCTTATGATCAGACGATGATTCATGAAACAATGAAATTTTTACTATATTCACTACCTTCCTAGACTTTTTATGAATCATATTTGTAATGGCCATTGTTTTGGGAGGGGGGGGGGGGGGCAGTTTCTTTTGTTTTAATTTTTTTGATAGATAATGATTCTGTATGTTTACTCTTTTCTTTTAACATATGTTCCATCCATGGCTAAAACATCCGAGACTAATTGGAAAAGGAAATGTTGTATGTTTGAGTCACCTGAGTTTGTTCAAATTTTAAATTATTGGTTGTCAGTTCATTGTAACTTGTGTATTTATAGACATATTTCATCGGTAGTATTGAATATTTGGTCATCCAAATTTCGAGTTCATGGATGGGATGAGACTCTAGAATTTCATTTCCTTTCCTGAAATATTATTTTCCTTTCACTGCAATATTGGTAGTTGTTGTAAATGTCATGGCATAGAAACAAAATTCTCTGCCCCTTAGAGGAATAGCACTATTCATAGTCCTTTTCATTTGCATCCTGAATTTCTAATACTTAGGAACCAACTACTTTTCAATATTACTTAGCATTATTGATTGTGATTGATTTGCTCTGATGAAAGATGTATTTTTGGTGCATTTCGGGTGAGTCCATTCTCCTTGCTGAGTCCGAGTAGGAAACAAACAGCCTACGTTTTCACTGTAATCGTTTTGCTTAACAATCTGGATGGTGTGGCCAATAAGAAGCATGGGTGGGTTGTTAAATAAACAAAAAGTTGGACGATAAAAGATACATGCATTAGGAGTATCAAATACATAAAAAGAGTATTTTCTAGTTGTTGACACTAACATCCTCAAACTCAGATCAATCATCGGATCCATCCATAAGCTGCAAGAACCATGAACTAGATCATCAGTTAGTGGGAAGATGTAACACAATAGAACATATAGAAATGCTTAATATCTATCAGATGGGAACAGAGACTGGTCGTAGCTTCCATAGAGCTGCAAAAGAAATCCACCCTCAATTTCTGTCGTTGAGTTTATTGCTGTCGCATACCATGTTATCATCTACACCCTGGTAAACAAATCAAATTCACGGAGAATGATGACTCCATTCATGAAGGCCTGAACATTTTTTTATTGTTTTAAATTAATAATTAGGATTATCTTGCTCACAGATTGAACTGAAATCTCTATATTAATGAATATTACAATCCGTCTTCCACATACACATGTATGTCATGTCATTTAAAACCAGTTAAAGATCAAGCATGAGTATTAACAGAGCTTGTAAAAGTTCATCAAATGTGCAAGAGATAGTTGATGTATCTGTGCAGGCCACCATAAACCATCACGTATCTTCACCCACATAAGAATTCCCAGAGATGGATAATTGCATTCGGCATCATTGCCATCATGATTTGCATAATTTCTCTTCAATTCATATCTTGAAATCCACTACTTTTATACTGTGGTTTACAGACCACACTGGCTGTAAACCACACTAGCTTGAGCTAATTCCACTACTGTACCAAAATCAGAAAACTGTGAAAACGAGAAATTATAATACAGAAACCCAACGTTATGCAAGAGCATTTTATGAAGTAAAACTAACCACTTCGTCAGTGGTTTCATCAGTTCAATCCAACATACCTGATGTAGGTATTAACACATGATTTATCTATCTTTTTGTGTTGTATCCTACTTGCAAGGCTTATAAAATAGCCAGGGATCCATGTAGTTTCTCTGATCTAGTTCAATACTTTGTACCATATAAAATTATTACAGGAGACTGGTTTTCCCTTTACCTTTTTTGAGCTTCAGGTTAATTTATTGACTTTTTATTTCACTTTCCTCTTGGCTTATAAAGCCAAAGTTTTCCTTTTGGTATTGGGCAGTAAAACTTGCTTTCCTTGGTGCTCTGCCGGTGTGACTTGGGCATATCTCAGCTTTTGTATTGGACCAATTTCTTAGATTTTATGCCAGGATATGTGAATTTGAGATCTGTAAACTAATTTTCTACTATTTTATCGGTTAGATCTGGCTGCTCTTATTTCTGTCCCTCCCCTCTAAACCTGCAATTGTCTGATATTTGATTGATCCTTTTGGGAACATGTGATGAATTTAGCCTTGGGTTAGGGTTCAGGTGCGTCCGAGGATGCACCTATTATAGCGAGTCCACCATTCCAAAATACATTTGGATTTTGGATCCAAAACTCTACAGGTCAATCATCTCAAGCGCCAAAATCATGAATCTGGCGAAAATGAATTTTAAACCTTCAAATTGTCGATCCCGGACCCTTCTTTGACTGTTCGTTCCAGTTCTTCAAAGATAATCTCTACACTGGTTTTAGAGATCCAAATTTCTTATCTGAGGTAAAAATGGATTTGCAGTTATCTGGGATGTGTTTTGGATCCTAAAACTATCGAAAATCAGGGCAGACACATGAATCAGCGGAATCATGGAAAACTTTTCATTTAGTGTTTAGATCAGGTGGTTTATCATTTTTAGTTGTGGTCTCTCTGCTCTGATGAAAGATATGTGTTCTAATTTCCATACATCCTACTACCGTCATCCTTTTTATTAGAAGGGTATTCCTGATCCTAATTTCTCCTTTCTCATTTTTGAGGTTCAGATTGGTTTATGGACCTTTTATAATACTTTCCTTTCTGTTCATAATACCAATTTACCCTGCTCTTCTTTTGGAATCGGACAGTGAGTTTGCTTTCCTTTTGTCCTTTTCTGGCCTAGTCTATTGGGATAAGTCTGCTGAGCTAATGTTATAGACCTTGATTCATTAGAGAGGACTTTATTTGGGTTTTTTTTGGAAGTGTAAGCTGGATTGGCCATTTGTTTTTAAGTTATTTTTTTGACTTTTGGATTTGATAAAATAAGTTAGTTTTTGATGATACGTAGTTTTCGATGACAAGGATCGGTTGGAAATCGGTAGGGTACCAAGTGCGAGTCACGTCTGATGGACTAACCACATCCAGACACGCTAAGAATTTGCAGATGGCAAAGATGATGAATAAAATGAAGAACACAAAATATAATACATGGCTTCTGATATCTGATACTCCCCCGTATTGGAGGTAACTTTTGGCATTGTACCGCTATTGGGGAAGTTGTGAGATGTCAGTTGGATCATTTCATGCCGGTATGGGTTTTATTGGTGCTTTGCACACTATGTAAGTTCGTTGCGATTAGAATGTATAGATTTATGTATTTGTTTATTTATTTTTCTTTAGAGTTGATAATAAGAAACCTTTGAGATGCACTTTGGTATATCAGGAAGCTCTTTTGTATTATTTTGTATGATGTATGCTTTAATATGGTCCTGTATACATCCTGATCCTTCCCAAGAATAATGGTTTTGAAGACGTTTGGGCATCTGAATTTCAGATTTACTGGTGAGCTGGAAAGTATTGATGCCTGCTTGTTTTGAGAAAGAATTATTGATGCCTGGTATTATATCCTTCCTTTTGAATTTTGATTGTGGACATGAGCATGACTGTGGGATTTGGCCTTGTACCTTCCTTGGTAGGGCTTCAGGTTTGCAGTATTGCTACCCAAGTCTTGAATCTGTGCTTACCACCTAAATGCAGGAAGAAAAGAGTGTGAAGCATATGGTGCTTTTGTGGAGCATGCGTAGTTTGAATTCAGGTAGTGTGAGAGTAGCTGTTCTGAGTTTTGGTGTGGAATGCATGTATGGTGTTTCCAGATGAGGACCTACAATGCTGAATACATTACCCCATGGGACTACTTGTGGCTTGGATTATTTTAGGTACATTTCAGGCAATCCAATTGTTAGTTGTTTCCTTAGATCAGTGAGGGGCATATGTTTAGATACTCCAGGCGCCCATAAATGTTGACATGTATACATCAAAGGAATGAGGAATCAAAGTTTCTGGGTATGCTGTTGCCAGTAATGCTCATTATCTGGAATTCTGATTGAAGGGAATATGACTTTACCTGTTGTTGACTATAGTGGTGAGGGAACAATATTTGCATTCAAGTGAGGTTCAGAAACTTTTACGATTGGTGGGACTTTTCTATTATGCTGTTTGTTGGTACTTAAAAGATTTGCAATACAAAGAAGGGAATAAACATCGGGTGTGATGGGTTCAAGTAATCAAGGATCTTCTTTATCGAAAGAATAATCACTTGAAAGAGTGCATTGATTTTTTAGGGCTTGATATGTAAAATAGATTAAATAACATGATCATGAGTAGACAGAGTGGGGAAGCCAATTTTACATAATCTTCTTTGCCGCAATGTTTTGCCATTCATAGGATGATTATGATGCTAGGCAGTTCTTTTAAAATTATGAATGGGATGCTCTAGTATGCATGTCTATGATAAGGGCAAAAGAGGGTATCATTGTGTTTCTCTTGTTGTTTTTGTTTTTGTTTTTTGTGGGGTGGGGGGTGGAGGGGTGTATGGGGAGTGTATTAAGAGTTTATATGCAGTATTAGAGGTGAGAAGGTAAGTGGTATAAACAAATTATTCTTGTTGTTACTTTGAAGGGTTCTCTTCGTAGTTTTGGTTATTGGTACAAGTGTACAGATTTGCTTCACTTAGGCCAGAGTCTTGGTCATGAGCCCTCCCAATGTGAAAAGAATCCATTTTCAAAATTTGTGAAAGTATTGGTGAAAACTTTGAAAATATCCAGATGTTTAGAAAATCGAAAATACCTTTGGCGGACAGGAGAAGCCACTTGCAAGGTGCTCACACGTTCTTGTTGTTAGGCCAATTCCATGTTAGTGGCTCTGTAAGATTGAATATCTAGTAAAGAGGCCCTGATGAAATGATTACTGCTGTTGGTATCCTTTTAATACTAAGAACAAAGTGTTAAAAAAAGAAGCTTGATTCCATTTTAATTTGATTTGATTTTTTGATATATAGTTGACTCTATTTTAACTCATTCCGCCATTTGTTCACCATCGATAGGGACCCATGAGGAACCTTCTCTCTTTTCCTAGATCATCACTCACTCAGCACTACAGCAAGGGATTGGTGCCATTCAACAGGTCTTTCAGCACACAAGCCCCAACTACATCAAGTACTCCCCAGCCTCCATCCCCTCCACCACCCCCTGAGAAAACCCACTTCGGTGGCCTCAAGGATGAGGACCGCATCTTTACCAACCTCTATGGTATAAATGATCCATTCCTCAAAGGGGCCATGAAAAGGGGTGACTGGTACCAAACCAAAGACCTCATCCTCAAAGGCTCTGATTGGATCGTCAATGAAATGAAAAAGTCGGGCCTTCGAGGACGTGGGGGTGCCGGCTTCCCATCGGGTCTCAAATGGTCTTTTATGCCAAAGGTCTCTGATGGCCGCCCCTCTTACTTAGTTGTGAACGCCGATGAAAGTGAGCCAGGAACTTGCAAAGACCGAGAAATCATGCGGCATGACCCTCATAAACTCCTAGAGGGTTGCTTGATTGCTGGCGTTGGCATGCGAGCTAGTGCAGCCTATATCTATATTCGCGGTGAGTATGTGAATGAGCGGCTCAACCTCCTCAAGGCCCGAAAAGAAGCCTACGAGGTCGGTTTGCTCGGCAAGAATGCCTGTGGCTCGGGCTATGACTTTGATGTGCATATTCACTTTGGCGCTGGTGCTTACATTTGTGGTGAAGAGACGGCACTATTGGAGAGCCTTGAGGGCAAGCAAGGGAAGCCGAGGCTTAAGCCCCCTTTCCCTGCAAATGCAGGGCTTTATGGGTGCCCCACCACCGTAACAAATGTTGAGACAGTCGCTGTGTCGCCGACCATATTGCGCAGGGGCCCCGAGTGGTTTGCGAGCTTTGGTCGAAAGAACAACTCGGGCACAAAGCTCTTTTGCATTTCGGGCCATGTGAACAAGCCTTGCACTGTTGAGGAGGAGATGAGCATACCCCTCAAGGAGCTTATCGAAAGGCATTGTAAAGGTGTTCGAGGAGGGTGGGACAACCTATTGGCTATAATCCCTGGTGGCTCATCGGTCCCCCTCTTGCCAAAGGACATATGTGATGATCTTTTGATGGATTTTGATGCTCTCAAAGCTGTACAATCAGGGTTGGGTACAGCTGCTGTCATTGTGATGGACAAGTCAACTGATGTTGTTGATGCAATTGCAAGGCTGTCGTACTTTTACAAGCACGAGAGTTGTGGGCAATGCACACCTTGTAGGGAGGGAACAGGGTGGCTTTGGATGATAATGGAGAGGTTGAAGGTTGGGAATGCTAAGCTGGAGGAGATTGATATGCTTCAAGAGGTAACAAAGCAGATCGAAGGGCACACTATTTGTGCTTTGGGGGATGCAGCGGCCTGGCCTGTGCAGGGTTTGATAAGGCATTTCAGGCCCGAGCTTGAAAGGAGGATTAAGGATAGGGCACAGAGAGAGTTATTGGAATCAGCTGCCGCTGCCTGAGAAGGAATGATGGGTTTTCCTGTTTTTTGTTGATTAAATTTCTGTGTGAACTGGCCACGGGCTCCTGTGAAATAAGAGGAGAGGAACTTGGGAGAAGAACATTTGTATTAATTAAATATTATTATTTTATTGAACATATGGAAGAGTATGGATTTGTTCCGGTAACGTGACATTATTGTTTTGTCGGTTCAGATTGAATCTGGGCCAATTTGACAGTCACGATCTCATTTTGTATTTGAATTTTAATGTTTTTTTTACGAATCCAAATAATTTAAAATTTTAGGTCTGTATTCTTCATAAATAGGAGAATCTAATGAAAATATCAAAAAGATAATTTACAAGAAATAAATTGATCAAAATACCTCTGAAATGTTTTGGGGGTATTTTGGTCAATTTATTTTTTACGAATTATTTTTAAAATATTTTTATTAGGTGCGTCTTGATGAGAAGAATGAACGTTTAAAATTTACAGTTATTTGGATTTGTAAAAAAATAAATAAAATTCAAATATGAAATGAGGTCGTAATTGTCAGATCGACTCAGATTCAATCTGAGCCGTTGGATTCATATGTTCATAGGAGCTAATGGGCTAATTTCAACATTTGCTTTTATATATATATATATATATATATATATATATATATATAT